AAATTGATTCGGGGCAGTGATTCGAATCACCAAATCAAATCGCTGTCCCCTGAATCGGCCAAATCCAAATCCAAAGTGAATACTAGCTCGTTCACGCAGGCCTAATATCGATAGATAGATAGATAGATAGATAGATAGATAGATAGATAGATAGATAGATAGATAGAACAACCAATTTTCATTCCTCCAGCATCCCAGAATGCATCATCCCTTCCCCTCACCTCCTGCTCTGTGTGGACAAACTTCGTACCTGCTAAACTGTACTTCCCATGGGATGGAGCTGGCACCAAAACAATTCCTTCTCTCATCCCCCAGTGCGTGCAACCTCCTGGGGATTGCTCCTTTAAAGAAATAAAGAAATAAATATATATATAAAAGCCTTGTGTGTCAATAAACTGAGATTGGGTCAGGGGGAAGCGGTTGGGTAACTGGTCGACAGGGGTTATGTTGCACTGGGGAAGCTGCCAGCAGTGGGGAAAGGGATTTTTCTTTGATTCATTCTATACCTCTGGCTGAGGGATGAAGGTAGGTAGATAATAGCTGTCTGCTTGCACTGCTTTCACTTACAGCAGCTTGCGCAGGCTTGCACTCCCTGGGCAGGAGGGTTGCACCCCCTGGGGAATGAGAAAGGGAGTTGTTTTGGTGCCAGTCTCATCCCACGGGAAGTACAGTTTAGGGGGTGGAAAGTCTGTCCACACAGAGCAGGTGGTAAGGGAAGGGGATGATGCATTCTGGGATGCTGGAGGACTGAAAATTGGTTGTTTTATTTCTGTGGAGCAGTCACACATTACTGTAGCATGAGCTCAGTAACCCAGCTCAAAGATAAACCTCACCCAGCGTGGCATAACTTTAAGATGCCTAAAGGGTGCTTAGTGCTCGTTTCCACACTTTAACATGTGGACACTCCTGTATTAAGAGCTCTTAGTATAGTCTTACGATAACATATAACAACACCCTTAGGATAAACTACTTGCACATTTCTCAAATAATATGCTTTGATTTTAGAGTATAGGGGGACATTTTTAGGGGAAAATGCTAATTCTGTCTCAGGGCCTATTCTCGTTTTGCTTTTGGGAGCTGATTGATCTGAAATGCAGTAGTTTTTTGTGCTGTAGCTATAAGAAAGAGGAAATGAGTTTTTCATGGAAAGATGCCCATCCATTAGTAAAAACTTCCCAACATAACTAACTTAAAACATGCTATACCATTTTTAAAACTAAAAGTTAAATAAAGCTTCTTTGAATCTGAAGGAAGTCTCATGTGAACTTTGATGGAGTAAATGGGTCTAGCTTGTTAGTGTAACCCTGTCATTGTCCAGGAGGTTTAATGTATTTTGCATTGAGTAGTCTTCAAATAGTTCCCTCTTCATGCAGCCAGAAACAGACTCCCTTTAGTTTGTTTTGCTTATGGTCCCATACATACATTCCCTTTTTGTCAGCCTATAACAGTCCTTTTTGTACCCTACCCGGGGGAGGGGGGGTGGACAGTATGTTTGGTCTTACCTAGCACACCTGAATCCACCACCTACCTTGGCAGTGGATTAAAAAAGATGTAGTTTCAGAACTGCTCTGGCTGAGGAAGACCTATTACCTATGTGTCCTGCTTCCTGGACAAGTGCCTTAACCACAAGGCTGTTGGGTTAAAAGGTGGATAGGTAGAGTGTGGAGGGATAGCTTTGCTAAATTGTTAGCTTTTGTTTTCTCTGACTGTGGCTTTAGAAACTTACACAAAATACATTCATTTTCCTATTAAGACAACCATCTAGATCACTTCAGACCATGCACAAGTAGCCAGCTGAGTTGTGGACAACAGAACCTAAGGACAAATCAGTGTAGATAGCACTAAGTGCCACCTATGCATTTTGGATGCAGAATAGAATTTGGACAAGTCTCAGATGTGTACATGCTACTTAAACATGTGGTAGAAGAAATAGAATTTTAGCCTTACAATATAGGTTGATGGTCACTGTAGAAATATCTAATATATGTAGTAACTTGCCCCAAAAAACCCCAACTCATTTCTTACAGGTTATCATTCAGTCAATAGGTGGCAATGACTTGGCTTTAATTTCTTTTGGGGTAACTTTGAAATTGTTCTGATACTCATTACCAATCCTCTGAGCCACCAAATGTCCTAATTTACCTTAGTATTTGAGGGGAAGGGACAGATTCTGCCCCGTGTAAGGACCACTTTTAATTTCACCACTTAAGCAAAACAGCCTTAAAGCTGGTTGTGAGTCCCCAGCACGCACAGAACTATGTTGGACATAGAAACTCTGCCCTATAGTTTTTAAAACTATTTATATTGCCCAGAAGAATTTTTGTGCTGTTTTTTATGTTTTCCAATCATTTAATAATTCTTAAAATTGTGCCTATTCCGTAAAACAATTTGTACTCTTTCCTTTTTTTTTTATTTTAGCAAACCACAATGCTCTGTGCAGTAAAGAGCATTACTAAAGTCTACTAGAAATTATAGAAATGTTTAAATTTAATTCTTAATGAATTTATGGCTTATATTCTCTCTATTACTTCTTCTGCCTCCTTTATTCTGTGTCTCAGTTTAGTACTATTGAAATAAAATATATTCCCTTAGAACCATTTTATTATACTTAATGAATTTGTCATTAATTTTACAAAATAAAAAGTTCCCTTATCTTCTAATTCTTCTATCATTCTACAATGCTTCCTCTGAGCCTTCTTAAGACTGTTTAACTTTCATCTACTAATGTTCTTCTACTCATGGAGAAAGCCACAGTCTCCTGGACACAATTTTTAATAAGAGTTTAAGATAACAATACTTTTATACTCTGTATAGAAAACATAAAGAAATGGCAGTGCAAAGGAAGAACATGTAAAGACCTGACATAATCTTATAATTTATAAATGTGGAGACAACTGGATGGCTCTGGAAAAAGGAAATGGAATATGGTGTCTTTCAGTTATAGGTCTTCCGTACACATGAGACCTCAGTCAATGGTAACAAAAAATATCACTGTCAGATAGCTGTACATGTGAAATAAATTGGTAGTTTTAGCACAGTTCAAAGTAGACAAATTGCTATATCCAAAACTGTCTGGCACCCTTTTTGGCAGATGCTTTCTGCCGTATGTTATGTACTATAGTTACAGGCTTTGCGGTGTTTTTTCTAAGTGTTTGAGTATTATTTACATATCCTTGGGTGACACTGTAGGCTCAAGGCAGTCAGAGCAATAGTGATTTGAAACATTATTTGTATAAGGGTATCATTACAGCTACAGAGACAGAGAAGGAAATGAGAAGGTGTAAAGGCTATGTGCAGTCATATAATAATATAAAAAATGGCATGTCCCAGAAAGCACTGAATGGAAAGAGTTAAATCCAATTATTTTAACCCAAAGAAGAACTTTAAGGTCATTACTGATATTAGAAAACTATTTAAATACATGTAATCATTTTACTTTTTTAATAAGTGATAAAGTCTACCAAACCCATCACATTTTGTTATTTAAGCAACTCCCACATATCTTAAGATGATCTGCTGGAAGAGGGTGTTTGCTCTTTGGGTATGTTTATACAATAGTCAATAGTATGTTTGCAGCACAATTAGGTGTACCTGGTATAACTTTATTCTAGATAGCTCTGATAAGAGTAGCAGCAACATCTGATCACACACAGACTCAGTAACAAGCCATACAAGCTTCCTGGGGACCATAGGTAAGTGTTTCCATTGCTGGGCTGAACTGAAATACATGTCAATGCATCTTCAATGTACTTGTTATTCGACTTAGCAACCACTTTTCATTTTAATATAGGCTTATTCTTTCTCTCCCCCTCTCCCCCCCACCCAATTCTGCAGAGAAAGTCTTTCGTTTTTAAGGTATGAGGTTTTGTTGAGGTTGTTCAGGAAAGATCAAAGAGCGGGGCATATTGTAGAATATCAAACATTTTTAAAGAATGAATGTTCTGTGCACAAATGCATACATTTTCTTGAATCACCCTTCAACATTTTGTAATGATTATCTCATCTGATTCTCCCACAGACTTGTTTGGATAAACTAGGCAAACAAATGCTTCTGATAGCTGAAATATTCTTCCAACTTGTTCAACCATTTCTAAATAAGTGATACGAAGTTTATCCAGCAGTTGCCATTACATCAGGGTCCACATTCTTCAAGTCAAGTTCCAACAGGTCTGACAGCTAAAAATGTCTGCTCATTCACTGCACCCACAATCAGGGATTTCCATATAAAAGCCTAGGCATTGCACTTACAGATCATTGCTTTTATTTGTTGTCTGAACATTCAAGTCATTCATTTTAGTGATGTTATGAATGCTTATAGATGTTAAAAAAAAACAAAAAAGGTGCTTTATGTTAAACTCAGCATGCTCCTGTGCTGAACCTAGCGCATGCCCAAAAGAGGCATCACATTAGTTAGACCTAGATCACCCAATTTTTACACTGGGTGCTCTAGTGTGGCTTTGTTGGTGCTTTTATCTAATAGGCGATTGAGTCAGCTTTAGATAAAATCTCCTAAAAGCCCCACTGAAGTGTCCAATCTATACAGACACTGCGGAGCCAGGTCAAACTAATGCGCTGCTGCTTCTGGTAAAGCACTTTTTTGGAGCTTTTTTTTATATCTGTAAGCATAATAACAGCACTCTAAAATGAATAACTTGCATGTTCAAACAATAACAACAGCATGTTCATTAGCATGTTCAAACAATAACCATAGCAATAATAATAGCGATCTTTGAAATAACTTTCCATGTTTCTTGCATGCTGGTTCTTAAGCATTATGAATCATAAAACAAACAGGGAGACTTAAAATAAAGCCTACTGAATATATACTATATTTTGTCATCATTTTATACCACATTATTATGAAATGTAATGTGATTTTGTGATTTACATTGTCATTCATAGTGCTTAGGGTCAGAAGGGACCTAAACAGCTCATCAGGTCTGACCCCCTGCCCCGGGCAGGAGTGAGTGCTGGGGTCATACATAACACCCCAGCCAAATATCTATCCAGCCTCCTCTTGAAGACCCCCATTAAAACTCCTTGATAGGGTTACAGTTTTATATCATACTGTTCTGCATGTTGTATAGCATTCTGTTTCTGTTTGATTTATATAGAAATAACATTTATTCCTATGAAAAGATCTTGAATTAGTGTTACCCCTTCTAAAAGCATGATTAAACAAAATTCAGACCTTTGTGGGCTGTTTCTGCTATGAAAAGAAATTGGTGATGCAGTCAAGTACTTCTAAAGCAATCCTGTTTATTTAACAAACACAGAACGTACAAACTCCAATTTCCCTGAACACCCAAGGAAAAAAACAACAGGGGATAGATACTTTCTTGTTCACAGCTCCAAATCTCTTTAAGCCAGTATTTGACCCCTCTCTTAGCTTTCCCTCAGAGCTGTATTACCAGAGCTTCTCTTTCTGGTACTTTGGTGTTTCCTGCCTCTCTCCCTCTGTCTCAGCTGTCTTTTTTCTTCATAGAGATGCACCAACTTTAACAAAACAAGAGACAATGAAATACTTCTGCCGCTGTGTACCTAGCATATGCCATTGTTTTGGGTGATGATATTTTGTTTTGTCAGCTACCTAGAATAAGGGAAAAGAAAACTTCTTAGAACGCACTTATATGAAATGCAGCTGTCACGTACCCACCCCCACTTTGTTGCAAAGACATTTCTCCCAACCTATTACATTATAATGCCCCAATCCATTATTTTAACCTGGTGTGGAAACGTTATTACTAGAAAAGGTGCTAATAATATCTGTAGGAAATGTACTTCTTACTAGGTTAGTAATACTTACTGTCTCTGCTACAGAGCAGGCTGATTAGCTGATTTCATTTCAGAAATGAGTCTGTCACCAGAATTAAGAGTTAGTATTTTAATTGCCAAAAAGTGAATAATCAAGGTTATACAGAAACAGTATAATACGCCATGTTGAAGTTTTTTTCCTTCTGAATGGTGGGCTGAGATTGGTCAATTAGAAAATGTGTGGGGAACTAGTGATAAAGGTGAATATTTCCCTTTCTATACAACTTAATTTTCAAGTTTTACTGAATGCACATCCAGTTGCGAAGATTGAGGCCTTTCACATTTTATTCACTTTAGTGGTAGAAACACTTCCATTTATATTTTGAATCTCTGCAGAACTGTTCATTATGCAAATCAAATTTTCCAAAATAGGTACAGGAGTGACAGGAGCGATTCAAAGTCAAAATAAAAAGTGAAAAGATATATAAAATGAAAAGATAACAGGAATCATGAAGTGGGGAAGGATACTGCCTGGGTAAAAAGGAGTATATTTCTATTGGGGTACTCTAGAAAAGCCTTGATGAGATCATACCCATGTTTTTACTTGTAAACTGTATTTCTAATTTGCCTGAAAAAAAATGTAGTGGTCAAAACATAATGTTAAAAAGCTATTTAAAACATCTTAAAGTGAAGCATGATACTAAACTCCCAGTGTCTGCTGAGGTCTGCTTTATCTTCAGAAACTAACCTAGCTTAACAGTATTATGACAGTAATTAATGTGCTGTGACATCACTCCTTTATAATGCTTCCTTCAGGTCATTGTGGACAGTTTACTTCAAATTCTATTATCAGTTTCCTGCCTCTAAGCCTACAGTCCCTTTTCAGACAAAACTCTTATTGCGAAAGGACTGCTGCCTTAGCCCATTTTATCTCCCAGTTCCTACTACATCTGTTAATATTTCCTAGAGCATAGCAACTCATTGACCTTGGCAGCCTCTGTCTAAGATTGATTCACCTGTTTCAAGGATCACTCAGCTTCCATGCTGAGTGATGATTGTTTGGCTAACTGCAAACTCTGGGTTTTTGTTTGTTTTATTTTGTATTTTATTCCAAGTTGATTTAATATGCTTTCTTATTTTATAGATTATTGTAGTACTGAATTATAAGTTTGGATCCTACATCTATTCCCTCCATTTTCAAGTCCCTCTTTAAGCCACAGTCCATTAGAACACACATCTACCTCCCTAATCTGTATCATGTACGGATGCATATTCCAATAGTAGACATGTTAAAAATATATACTTATTTTAATACCATCCACTATTTTCCACTGCTTTTCATTCATGCATTGCTTTAGGATGGCAACGTGGGGATTTTTTTATTGTTGTTTTCTGGTTTGGTTTTGATTGGGTTTTTTTTGGGGGGGGGGAGCTGTTTTTTGAGCAACAAACATTCTACTTTTTTAGAATACCTAGAATTATATCAATATTAAAAGAACAGCAGACCTCAATGCTAAAATTAGCCCCTTTTGTAAATGCAGGCAAGTTTGTGAACAGAAATTGGCAACATTCACCAAAATGATGATTATTGTAAAATTGATTTGCCAGTTTATTTCTATGATTGTATATGATTTGCATAATTATTCTTTTTCTGATATTACAGAAATTAAACATTTTCATTAGAACCATTTTCTTGCAATTTCCCAGTTGGTCTAATAAAAGGTATCATTTTGGAACCAGGAGTTCTACTTTTTTGTACATTTTCATTATGATAGTCTCATATTTTGAGAATTGAAAATATTGAAGCAATCATGGGAAACATAGTGTAGAAATAGAACCAACCCTAACCCCACAGAGATGACAGACTAACTCCCAAATAGATGATGGACTAGCTCCAATGCATCCCAAAGTATATTCTAATAATGGCACTGGCACTGGACAATGGAAAGGGTAATAAGTACCTACCTGGATACACAGGTAAGGACCTGACCACATGACAATTTTGGAATGATTATTTAATCACAATTCATTGGCTCTAAGCATAGTTATCTATCTGCAAACAACACGCACGACACAGTTAAATCCTGTTGGTATGCAACTAAGAGAGAGTATGTCAGAGCACAGTGCAGTGTAGAGATATCTAAAAGAGTTATAAGTGAGCTAGGTTGGTACTGGTACTGCAAGCAGTGTTACCACAGCAACATTGAACTCTGAACAGGCTAATTTGGGGGGCTCCATGCTGTTGTGGCTAGAGCACAACAGGCAGAAGCATTGCTTTGCAAAATGCCAGCATTATTTTTCCATGTGCACCTCCTCTGCCCACTCTATGACCCACTGATTGATTTCTAGAGGTCTCAATTTGAGGAGCTTTTTTAAAGTGTGCCGCTGCATACCTGAAAACATGCTAGTTGTGTTGGTAGTAATAGGTCCGTATGATGGAGGAAGGGTACAGCCTCCTAGGACTGGTGACTCTGCTGGGATTTAGAGGGAAAACGCAGGGACAGAAAAACCCTTGGGTTTCCTTCTCCTTAGCCAGTTGCTGGGTGGTCTACAGCTATTCCAGTGAAATGGGGGCAGTTTAATATTTGCCAGGCCATGGGGCAGGCAAGAATCTGGAACTCATTGTTAGTGGTCCAGATCCCCATCCACGCCTGGAAGAAGGTGGCATGAATCCTCCTTTCTCCTTCCTTTTCTTTGGACATCTGGTGTTGTAGAAAGGTGATCAGTGCCAACATATACCAACACATCATACTGCCTTAAGAAGAGGTAGGACAACACCATACACAAATTTATTCAAATACCCAGCTTGATCTATGTCTTCCCATTATCCTACTATCCAGCATGGTTTGGACTTGTAGTTTGTATGCCAGTCTGTCATTTAAATGTGTAGAATCACCTCTGTTCAGCACACTGAAATCACTTGCAAAAACAAAGTACAGTTTTCTATCCCAGCTCTGTCATTTCAGCCCCTGACACAGAATGTATATTCTAGTCTCTTGGCTAACTTGAATGATATTTAGGTTGCAAAGTTTACTTTAGTTGACCCACTCAGGCAGTACAATTGTTGTGCTCTACTAATCAAGCTCTTAGAAAGTTCACCTGTATCATACACCAGTGATTTCTAGCTGTTGCTTTTGCTCCAGTGGGCATCCACTTTTGGCTTTTCTTCTGATGGACTCTGTCTACCAGTTCCCTCAAACCAACCATTTTACAGATTTTTCTCCTTTTATCGGTCGTCCCATCCATCTGTCTTTCTCTAGTAATTTTCAGTCGACAGTACTTTAGTAACATTTTCCAGCCTATCATTGTTCCCTGGAGCCCCTTAGACTGCTCCATAAAACTGTCTTCCTTATGTCTCACACCAGTGCCTCCAGCTTCATGCCATGCACCAGTGGCCTCCAGCTTACTGCTCTGCATCACTAGTGTTCTAGCCTGTGCTCATGGATATTGGTCCATGCCTTAATTAGGATAAAACTGAAACTAAACAATGAAAGTATTAAGTGAAAATGTGAGAGAGGCAAGGATTTCTTGGGGTGGTATTTTTTATTGGACCACCTATGTAATTAGGGAAAAGTGCAAATGTGAAAATGTAAACTAGGTTCAACTCATTGCAGGTGTTCTCATTGTAGGTTAATGAGCTTTTGGTGAAAAGATGAGCTTAAAGGATAAACAATTCAGAATCACAAGGCACTGTTTTTATAGGCAATACTTGACAAAAGCTTTGTTTTGGACTTAAAGGGCAGAGACATTTCAAGATCTAAGAGTTATTTTCCTTAGCCAGTAATACAGTCTTACTCAGAGTGTTATTGCAGTGCCATGCCACCTTTTCTATTTCCCCCACTATTCTGATGACTATAAAATATGACCAGCTGAAACGAGAAATACGCAGAAAGACTATTTCTGTATATTGGGTTCTGGATGAAGTTATTAAATTGTTTTTTGACAGAGGGTACAACTAGGGATGTTGTTTTTCACTAAGCAGTTAGTGAATAAATAAGTTGGGCATAAAAACATTTTAAAAATCCAAAACTCCACAGGAAAATAGCAGAATGCTGTACCCACAGTGGCCCAAATCTCATTTGTGGTAGGCTGTACATTCCTTTAAATGAGTGTTTGTGTCTGACGGTACAGATTTGAAATCTCCACTTTATTTCATTTTGGTTTCAGTATTATCTGAAAGTAACACTTTCAAATGTATATTCCACTTGTTCTGTTTATTATGGTATATATTTTATTATAGTACATTCCATGTATTATAGTATATTTAAAAATACATGTTTGTAATCAGTGCTTAGTATTTTACTGGCTTCTAGATGAAGGAAGATTAGGATCATTTTCATTTTGGGTATTGCCAAGCAAAGTAGTTATAGGAGGGACTCAAAACACTCAAAGCTTGATGTTTCTCGTATTTTCATAGGTATAAAAGTAATGCTTTCAGAAATGCATTCAATATAAAGTAGATATGAATGAGAAGGAGGTCCTCTGCTCACTTGAACTCATAAGTTACCAAATGTAAAATATTTGTAATATTTAACATCTTTCTCTCCCTGGTGCAGTGAAGAGATACCAGGAATAGCACTAGGACTTGTTTTCACTGCAAAGCAGTCTCTGTTTGCAAAAACATCCCTGGCTGTACCCTTTCAAGCCTCTTAAGCTTCTCTGCCCTGCCTCACTCCTCCTCTGTCTCTAAGCATTCCTGTTTTTCAAGATGGGATAGGGCAGCAGTCGCCAAGCCACAAGTTAAGTCACACCTCTGCCCAGAATGCCTCTCTGATCCCCTCTCCCGGGGGTATACCTGATCACGCTTGTGCCCTGGAGCACTGGAACAGAGGCGCCGGGAGTCAAGCTTCTGGCTGAGAAGATCATAATGGGACCAGCACACTGCTGCAAGAAGAGGTGTCACTTAGCAAAGTGCCAAGTTAACCCTTCTCTGGCCTTGCAACTGCTACAGTATTATATGGGGAGCACAGATATAAAACCCTGAATTCAGTGGCAGCTGCAGGGATAGGAAAGGATTCATTTGGCTCTTGGTGATGACACTTGACACCTCCTCTTTCAGCAGTCTTGTCCCCACTATGCTCCACCTGACCAGAAGCGAGCCTCCAGCCTCATTTTACTGCTTCCCTTTACAGAGATCAGGGATCCAGAGGCTCACATGCCACACAGCAGCTGCCCATGCCACAGTGTGGCTTGCACACTGCTGGTTGGGAACCTCTGATCTAGGAGTGCTTTTAAGTCCTTCTTTGAAACTACAAACAGCTTTCAGATGTTGAAGCTGGAGTCCACTTCCTGCTATCTTGTGTTTTCATATGGAAATGGACTCTTTGATCTCCTGCTGGTGCATTCCCCACTAACTGAGCACTCCTGTAGGTCCTCACAGGTCTGATATAGTTAACCCCTTCCTGTACAGACTAATCAAGGAAACTGAGGCATGCAATACTTTTATAACAGGAATACTATAACAAAACCAGAATCTGTCATAACAGATTTAAATTCAGCAACTACTAAGACGACCTCTGTGCAATATAAACACAAGCTAGCTTTACTCAAATGCCACTAGTCCCCAATGCCTTTCTATATGCCCCACATGACCCCCGGTTCTCAGTAGAGGGAGGCACTGAAGCCTCTGGCCATGTCAAGCTGAGTGGGGGTAGGATGCAACTAAAGAAAGACGTGTCAGTTGTCATCACCACAACAAGTTCTCCTATAATTTCCTGGGAAAGAATTCATAGAGAAGTTCAGTTTATTGCAGTACTAAGAGCCATAGCATATGCCCCCTGGTTATATATAGTGAAATTCTGGTGATGTTAAGGTTCTTCTCAAGCAGCTTAAGGTGAACTTCTTCCTCTAATCATATCTTGGAGTAAGCACCAAAGCCTCCACTTACAGGTGGCAGAGAGGAACTGGAAAAAAAAAGGAAAGAAGTCAAATCTGGGGAACTGTGGCATTATACTTCCTATGCCCACTGCACAAATAAACAGAAAAAGGACAGCTGGGAAGCAAACATAGGAGGAGTCCACCTCACCAGAGCTTAGCCATATCAAGCTTAGGTATTTACAGTGTACAGTAGTCTGTGGGTATGGATTTTAAGACAACTTTAAAGTCAACCCTTTCAGTGTAGCATAGCCTTGGTGTTTCTTGAGTGGGTGCAGCAATCAATGGAGAGTACAGCAGTTCAAGTGTTATTTTGAAGAATCACTTAGGCAAGTTAACTAAAGAGATGAACCTGAAAGTCAAGAAATCCAAAGGATTATTCAGTGAAGAGATATGCAAATTTATCAGATGCACTATGTTAAAAGCATTAAAGGCATACCTTGTAGTCCAATAGCAAGGACACCTGACTCGCTGTTTGGATATTTAGGATTTTCCTAAATCTAAGACTGTTTTACTGTGTGATCTTGTGTAAATCATTTAACAACTTCACATGGTAATAGTAATACTTACTCACATTTGTAAAGCACTTTGAGCCAGATATTGAACCAGCTAGTGCCTCTGTGAAGCAGCTGTTTTCATGAGTAATCAATGAAACTATTATGGAGAGCAAATGCTTACTAATGGGTGTAAGGACTTCAAACTCTCATCCTTTGAAGGCCATGGATGGATTATTTATTATTCATAAAATATACCTTGGTATAAAATATTAACTATTTCACCTGTATAAATCACTTCATACACAAAAATAATTACTGGGTGCATCTACCCATGCAATTAAGGCAAAGCAATGAACTCTGGTGCATATCACACTGGAGTTTATTGCTCCCAGTCATCATGTTTACATGTGCACCCAGAACTGTAGCACATTGAACCAGGTCAGAGCAGCCCTGGCTGGCAGGGAGCCTTGGGAGGGCAGCCTGCCAACCCGAGGTTGCTCTGAATTGGCTCGCTATGTGCTGGGACTGGGAAGTGCTGGGGCTGAAGGGTGCTTTAGTGTGGGGCTAGCCAACAGGCAGCCCCTGCACTGAAGCACCATTACACCCCAGCCAGCTCCATCAGTGTCTACACATGCATTGCTACACAATAAATAACACTGCCACAGGATAGTACTTGTATTTACAAATATTAACCTACATCAGCGTTTATTAATTTACTGTGACCTAATAGGGCCACACGTAGGCAAGGAAACTTTACTGCAGAGCTAATTAGGCAGCTCCGCAATAAACATCTCGTGTAGACATGACCACTTTCCCGTACAATACTGAGGGATATATTCTCAGCTGGCATAAGATGGCTCAGGAATATTGACTTCTGTGGAATGGTGTAGTACTTAAGTAATGGAGAAGCAAATGTCATTAAAAATAAGGTAGCAGATTTTTTTAAGGTGGGTTAGCTTTTTAAAAATACTTTTTTTTTACTTAAAATGAATCAGACTGTATTGCCAAGCTCCAAATAAGTGGGAAAAATGCCTTCATATCAACTAAGCTAGGCAATTTAGGGTAAAATCTGGACAGGCAAGCCCTAAGGACTAATATCTAGGTGCCCCATTAAAAAGAGTTGAGAAGTGTAGAAATTATGCACTTTTGATTAACATTGAAGGTGCTGATTTAAATTTCACCATAATGTGCTGACATATCGCTTTCTCTGAAAAATGTAAACCTGAAATCTTTTTTTTTTACTGAAAAATATCTAATAATATCTCCCTCTGTAAGAGGAATGAATGCATTTGAAACTCAAGCTGAATTCTCAAGTATTTGCTCTTCAACACAGTCAAACTCTGAAGTATCTCACAGAACAGCTGTCATCTTTTCCTTAAACCACAAAACAACAACAACAAAAGAATTATCATGTCACCTGTTTCACCAAAAAAATCCCCTAACAAACAAAAAACAAAACAATATTCCAGGATTTTACACCTGGAATGTAAGTTAGTATTCACTGAACTGGAGATTCAAAGTATAACTACAGAAATAGTGGAGTATAACTATGAACTAGAATAGAGATGTTAACCTATATTATTCTTGTTTGAACTTTTTCTGATGCAACAAAATGGGAGTAAAGGTATATAACCTATAGGTAGTACTTACAGGGTGTGTCTATATGAAATGCTATGTTGCTATAGCAATGTGCTATGGCAATACAGCAAATTGCTATGGCAGCATAATGTTACCAGGCATGAACCATGACACTGCCATGAACCATGACTACTGTGCAGTAGGGTCAGAAACAACCCATGCAGTGCCAGGACTGCACAGTACCAGCAGTTACTGCGCAGTCATATAGTACTTGCTAAGGGACTTGTACAGTAATAACCATGCAGTCAGGCACAGGTATAGACACGCCCATAGTGTATTATGTGTATCTACCCAAGGTCTGGTAATTACTGCTCATCATATTTGTTAGTATTTTCTCATAGTTTCTATGTACTCCTCCACTCTTTTGCCTTTTGTCTTAAATTATAAACTTCAGAGTAGCGACCACTTCTCTGTTACACGTTTATACACTATTTAGTACATTCAAGCCTGGATCTATGAATGGGGCCAAAGATAACTCAAATCTCTAACTAAAATAAATATAGTTTGTAATTTCTTTATGATGGAGTCTGTATCTAGCATGTTAAGAGTCCTGAAGTTATTTAATAAAATTTAAAAAAATTAAAGTGGCACTATACCTTTACATAACACTTCCAAGTGATGAAAGGACATCCTAGTTTGAAGAGTTTACAATTTAACACTTCATCTTTAGCTAGATTTACAAGATTTCTGTGTCTATGCAAAGCCAGTTGGCTTAATTTCACAAGTTAGCACTGAAGGCTTAAAATAAACTGCTGGAATTGACAGACCAGAAAATATATACCAGGTTTTAGACCTGGTTTTAAACCAGTTTTCACTGACATGGATTAGTGCTTTATTCTACGTGTAGTCCCATTAAAATCAATTAAGCTGCTTATATGAGTAAGGGCTTTATCACAGGGCCTTGTTACATGTTACGCTGTGAGCTGCACAAATCTTGATGAGTGTTTGTACTATCCTGAGTTTGGAGCAGTCACACATTAGGCCAGCAGGGACCTGGAGGACTGAAAGGTAAGAATCACTATTAAATGTAAGGTGCCACTGCACTGGTTCAATTTCAAAAGGCGGACTGGGAAAGGAACTAGATAATTCCTGAAAAGTAACAGAATTGAAAATTGTGCGTAAATGCCAAAAAACACCATTGATGTAAGTGGAAAAGTGCTGTTTAGGCACAGAAAAAGTAAAAGATTTCCTAAAAGACTATATAATAATACCATCTCATTTATCAGAGCAGCATACATATGCCACAAGTATTTGACAACATGTCTGAATACTTTCCTGCTCTATCCTCCTGATTAGGCTTGGGCAGATAAGAGTTTTCTCATCTCCATGACATATTTTGGGTGTTCAAAAATGTTCATGTTCCACACTGGAAAGAAACAGATGATCTGATGTTTTTTTACAAGCAGAGAGGAAGAGACCCAACCCTCACAGTTCAATGGCTAGGGCACTTACCCAGATGTGCAAGTCCCACCCAAGACACTGTTCTCCCTGATTCCAGACCGGGGATTTTAACCACAGTTGTTTGAATACTAGGTGTTTGCCCTGAGCCGACAGTCAGTCTGTCAGTCTCTCTCACCCTATCTCACCCCATCAGATCTAATAGCTATAACTATATAGGGTACATGCAGATATTACACTTAGATCAACCTAACCAGCCCTGGAATTCTGCTCTTCCTACTCCTCTGAATCTGACTGGGATATTGCAACCCACCAACCCCTGGATGGACAACCACTACTAATCCCTCACAGCCCCTCCAGTTCCCCCATCCTGTCAGCCCCCCCAGACCTGCCACTCCCCCCTACCCTGCACAGACCCATTAGCTCCCCCAATCCCACCTGCTCCTCCCCCCACCCCAATTTACTTAGATTGGGCTCCTGGTACAGCCTATGGCACTGGCAAACACGTCTACTTGCCATAACCAATCTACAACCACACAGGTTAAAGTAAGCCATGTGATCATAGATTGGGTATGGCAAATATCTGCACATACTCACAGATTTAGATATATAGATATAGACATCAGTCACTTAATTATCTAGCAGTGTGGACAGTTCCAGCAGGAGTGGATGGGAGAAGCCAAGCCTGTATTGGTTAGGGCACTCTCCAGGCATATGGGAGACTGACAATCAAGGCCCTAGCTTGAATCAGGCAGAAGATGGCTTTAGAAGCTGGATCTTCTAATATATAGGGAGGATGAAGAAGGCACTGGGAAATGTGGGGCCCCTGCAACATTCTCTGGGCAATCTGGTGGTTGCGCTAGAGGAGAAAGCAGACCTCTTTAACCAATTCTTCACCTCCGTTTTCTTGGGCAGGGACCGGGACTTCCCCACTGTGATGCAAGATGGACTCAAGGGGAACGCCTCCAGACCTCAGGTTGGGGAGGACCAGGTTACAGAGCTTCTGGAGGAGCTGGACGTGTTCAAATCAGCGGGTCCAGATGCTCTCCATCCCAAGGTGTTGAGGGAGCTAGCAGGGGTTATTGCAGGGCCTTTGGCATGGCTTTACGAGCGCTCGTGGTGCTTGGGCCAGGTGCCGGATGATTGGAAGATAGCCAACATGGTCCCCGTCTTTAAAAAAGGGAGGAGGGAGGACCCGGGCAACTATAGGCCTGTCAGTCTTACCTCAATCCTAGGGAAACTCTTTGAGAAGATC